GTTTCACTCAATGCCAGTTCAATGTTCAGTGAAGACAAGAATTTTTGACTAATCAGATACTCGTTGGTAAAACATACGAATGTTGCAGAATGGAACAGAATCAGCGAGAGAATGACCGTTTGAAGGCAATTATGGATGCAAACTCGTTGATTGAGAGTCTCGATAAACGAACCTCAATTCGAGCGTTTGAAATACAACGAGTTCAGGTGAGATCTCGAGTCCCTTGCATATGAATTGCTTACCTGTTATGGAATATTTAGGAACCGAGCCGTATTGCCTAATGAATGCACTGGATTTGGCATCATAGGGTCCAATTTCAAATGCCAAACGATTGCTTTCGTGTTCAGATTTGAATTAACTATCAGGAACTGGAGTTGGCATATTCGAAGATGAAAAGCGATCTCGATCGCTTGATAGAGGAGAAAACCGAGCATGGTTATGAGGGAATGAACTTCAGATCGATTTTCGAGAAAACAATGGAAGAAAATGATAGGTATCTTATTCACTTCATGTAAGCGCGAAGACTGTTGTTGAATTCCTTCCATGGTTAGAGCATGCTTTAAGTGATACTTTTTCCTAATTTCCTTCGTGCGACTGTTGAAGAGTTGCGATGTTAGATGCAAAGCTGAAGGAATCTCGTGATTGAAAAGTCTTCTCAAAATATACATATAAAAATGACTGATGAAAGTGAGGACACACTCATATTGCGGAAACCTGAAGATATTCCAGAGTGGAGTTCCCTAACGAAAAATCTTTTTACATCAGAAAACTTATTGTCAAAGTGAAGGTTATCTCACGTGAGTAGGTATAAAAAGTATTCGGTGAATAAATCAACCTATTGACACTTATTATCTCTTTTGAGGCGTCGCGAAGAAAGTGCTGAACTGCGAGCGTTGTTGGCATCACGATTCGAGAAGCATACCNACAGTGGTCATTGGTCATTAGCGCACAGTGAAGATGATGCATCACTGAGTGATCTCGATGAAGAACTGTGCTTGGAACGACAGTGTAGACAGCTGAAAGCACATATCGAGTAACTGATTCATTTTTGACGTTGACTCTCAATATCATTTAAGTTTTGTTTGCTGAATTTATTTTCACACCCGATATTCATGACAGCCAGTTTCATTGCAAATTTCATTGCATTGAAGCAGCAGCTGACTTTCAATTGTGCAAAATCTTCTAAAATGCTATCAACTGTCCGGTGATTGGGAAACATCGGTTAATGTAATATAGCGTTTAAAATCGCTTTATATCTATAGTTTATGGGATTCTTTCTTGTGTGTTG